GTGGGGACAGGGAAACAAGACAATAGTAAGCGACCTTTAGGTCACTCATCCCTGTGGGGTTAGGGAACCAAGACAATAGTAAGCGACCTTTATTACCCCCCCCCTCACCCCGCCCCATCTGAAGACTCAGGATGACTTTTTTAAGACATGGGTGCATGTAATCTTTATATCCAAATTCTATGGATTTCAAGGACTTCACCAAGGCCCCGGTGCAGTGACACACATTCACTACCAGATCTTACTTTCAAGGTTATCTTTGACCCAGCGAATCAAAGTCTGGTTGTTCAGAAACTCCTGCAAGCAGGCAGTGTGATGTTGGTGCAACATAACCAGCTGCTTCTCAGCCTGGATGAGGTCATCACTCAGCGACGTCAATTCCTTCCCTCTGAATGACTCTTCTCTCTATGTGAGATTTTCCACAGTTATTCACTTCCATCAATAAGACTTCCTTGGACCTTACAGTTTATATAGTAGCAATAATAGCATTTGAGTATTTGTATAAGAAGTAAAATGGTTTGGCACACAATACATTATACATCCAGCTTCAATACCTACAGTACTTATTCCATACAAGGTTTGTCAGGTGTGGATCCTTGGCCAGGAAGAACAGAGCATGAGGCAGGAACCACCCAGGACAGAATGCAGGGCCAATGCATGGTGCACACACAATGGTACGCAATGGGCTTTTTAAAGATGCCAATAACCCTAACATGATGTGTTTGCATTTCGGGAAGAAGCCATCACTACCATGGAGAGTAAGTGCAAGCTTCACACGGGAACATCCAGGGGCATGAAATCCACCCTGCAGGTGAGGCCATATTAGTACCCATGAGCCACCACACTACCCTTGGAATACATCGACTGTAGGTGTTTTAAAGCCGCCTACCAGCTGCTTGAGTATGAGGATCTGCGTAAAGCCGCCTACCAGCTGCGTGAGGATAAGTATCTGCGTAAAACCGCCTACCAGCTGTGTGAGAATGAGGATCTGCGTAAAGCCGCCTACCAGCTGCGTGAGGTTGCAGATCTGCGTAAAGCCGCCTACCAGCTGCGTGAGGTTGCAGATCTGCATAAAGCCACCTACCAGCTGCGTGAGAATGACGATCTGCGTAAAGCCGCTTACCAGCTGCGTGAGGCTGCGAATTGGCGTAAAGTCTCCGGAGAGCTGCAGCTGCTCAGCGATCCCCAGGACAGCGCTTGCCGACTCGGCTGCCCGGCAGAGTCTCTGATACTGCTCGATCTGACGGGACCGCGGCTCAGTCCAGTCAGCACTGACGCCATGCTGTCTCTGCAGCATTTTGGCCATCAAACCCAACTCCTTGCTCATCTCCCGTCCTTCTCCTCGGTCACCCACCCACTGCAGAGCCCTCTCCAGTTCATCGAAGGTGACTTTGCCCGACTCCACGTTCAGGGCCAGCTTCTCATAGCCAGCTAGCTGCGGCCTCCACACTATCGCCTGCACCTGCGCCAGGGTCAAGCTGTTGGTGGCCATGGAGCTTCCGTGGGCCTGGGAGGCCGTACCCTCTGCTCCTCTCACCCACAGGCTGAGCAGCAGGCTGCTGTTCCTCATCTCATGCATCTCCGTTGCCATGCCAAGCACCTCCTGGTCAATGGTGTACCAGAGAACAGGTCCCTGGGCTGTTTCCCAGCCCCCTCCATCAGAGCTGTGGGGCTGCAGCCTGACCAGCTGGCTCAAGCTGACAGGCAGGAGGTCGGCTTTGTGTTGGTGCTCAAGAGCGGAAATCTCCGGAACTATCGGAATAAAAAGAAGCAATGTCCATCAGAAGAACATAAGATAAATGGAAAGGTACTGAAATACAGTCAATAGTTATTTATAAGTAGTGCAAGAAACAAAAAATGAATTCATGTGAATTGTCTCCAATTCGCTTCACATTCCCTTACACCCTAACTACACTAAAGACTAATTGGAGATACAAAAAACAGGCTCATGTAGAGCGAAAAATCAACCATAAGTCACTAATGCACATTCTAATCCTGGAAGCAAGACACTCATCTGACCTGTGATGACATCTGCGATCTTCTTAATCATTTTAATGAGAGTATCCACATATTCCCAGTGCTGGTTAAAGACATTTACATCTTCCTCTCGCTGGGACAGAAGCTTCTTAATATAATCTTGGACTTTTCGGTTGCTGGACTTCTTGTCTGTGGAACGCAGCAGCACTAGCAAGAGTAACAAAAAAAACCACATCGTGGATGGATAAATTATGGCACACGGAGAACATCCGACGGGATATAAAAAGCAAAAGTACCGTTGTACAAACAAGCATGAAATGAAACTGTATTAACATCGACCATCTAAAAAGCAAGTAAATAGTGTGGATTGTGGAAATACAATTCCATGAATCACCTGGAAAGTCTGAAATCAACTTAAAAACTTACACTCCTGGTGCAATTTCTCAAATTGCTTCTGATGTTTCAGGGTAGCCAGAAGGTGTCCAAAGGGAATGTGTCCACCATGGAGGGCGTCCACTAAGGTAGCCAGGACTGCTTCTCCATCCTGCAGCACCTGGCTGGCGTCCTGACTGAGTTGCACACCCTGCCAGCAACCTTTGCCCAAGAAGCAAACACATTACGGAAGTCTTCTTCAGAGCCTGAAGAAATGATCTTCATGCCAACAGTGTCTTATTCAAGTTTGTCTAACAGCAACCTCAACTCGTGCGATGGAAGCGGCTTCACTACAAGCAGACCTGCCAGCTACAAATAGCAGGAGTAACAGAGAGCAGGCGATGTGTAGCTCAGCAAGCAAATCCTCTGTGCCTGTGATCAGAAGGTCATGCCCAGACCTCAGCAGAACAGCCACATCTCTGCTGGGCCATTGAGTCCAGTGTAACGAGGAGCAAAGAGGTGTCATCTGCTTGTGTTTCACGATTAACCTTGACCTGAGGCTCATCTAGGCAATTTATCATACGATTCCTGTGAAATCTTCGATACTCTGAGAGATGACCACAAGTTGGGTGACTGAAAAAGTGAGGAGCACTCACTCTGAGACAGGAAGTGATGCAGGGCTGACTGAGGCTGCAGAACTTGCCCCACCGGATCACCCCTGAACCGCTCTCTGGACCGTATAAGAATGCTGGAGAGGACCCATGAAGGCACGTCCTTGGTACGTTTGGAGAGGGTCATCATCAAATCTCCCTCCTTACTTTCCTGAACACAGAGAAACCCCAGAATGAGTCATGATAGGATAGACAAGATACAAATGACTACAGACTGATCCTCATCTTTCTAAGGAAAATAAATTTGATTTCTGTTTTAACAATATGTTACAGCACAGATACACACCACGTTCTGCACTGTAACTGTATGCTGGGCTCCAATTGGGTTTACGGTCCTCCAGAGGCGGATATCATACTGACCTGGCAAATGTTCTCGATGGCTGACTGAGACAGCTCCTGAAGGCAGGTGCTGATGGTGCTGTGGGCCCCGGGCTGATTCAGGCAGCAGAACAGGACTCTATCTTCAGGGCTGGCCTGAGTGCAGGATGAAGGACTCTCACCATCACTCAAGAAAGCCCCCAACAACGGCCGTCAACAACGACCATCAAAAATGCCCGTCGACTACAACCACTGCTATAAGCAGAGTTTGTGCCACAGGCATCCGGTTTACAGAACAGTAGCTGTCTTGTACATTGACTTATAAAGTCAGGTGTGTCTGGACTGACTCCCTAAAGCTACCATTCCTGCTAATGTGGCTTCGTAAGCACTGACTAAACTCAGTCAGCTTCTTTACAGTTTGCCCAGCCAAGGTCTCAGGGCTCCGGTGATGTTCCCCTAGACATTCCCCTCCGATTGTGTGACCCTATTCTCAGGATACAAGCACGGGCAGGTCTCTGTGGTCCATGACCCAATGCCCATGTAGCCATGTGTCAGTGGCCTTTACCTGGGAAATCCTGCATCTCAGGTCCCTCTCCAGCATGCTGTTCCAACGCTCTGAGATCTGCTGCACTGAGCACTGCACCTTCAGCAACGAATCCCAAAGCTGGCAACAATTTAAGGAGAAAAAGTCACAGGCAATCCGTCTCCAAAATCCAAAGCTCTCCAGTATTACAGAACCAATAACACTGCAGGACTTTTTCGGGTCTGGTGAGTCAGATTGGCCCAAACCAGGCACACAGGCTTGTGTGACAATAAACAGCAAGTTTCCGGGAAACTATTTCTTTGAGGGATTAGATGCTACTACCAGAGATTCACAGACACAAACATTTATTGAGTTTTTATTCTGTATTGTTCCCTTTACTTTCTAATTTTCTTTGGTTTGCATTTCTTTCTGAATATGTTTATCAAAGACTTCAGAAAGAAACTGGCTGTTTAAGCTTTTCAATATTTACACCGTCTTTCGTGCTGCAGTTCTGGTATGTAATGATTTCTTTGGTCACGCATCACTACATTTCCACAGAACTGCATGACCGGAAACTTCACGTCTGACTTCTGCAAACGAGTGGATCCCCTCACATACCTCCAGCTCTTTGGGGTAGGAAAGAGCACCAGTGTTAGTGATGGGCGGCTTGGACAGCAGTCCATCTCTCCATTGGCACAGCTCTGCCTGCGAGCCCTCGAGGCTGTTGAAGAGGCAGGTTCGTTCCCGGTCCTCCTCGTCTCCAGCCTGCTTGAGGAAGGACTTGGTGTCACAAAATTACAGCCTTAGGGTGAAAAAAAACTGTAACAGCACCTGGCTAATGTGTTTAATGTATGGCTTTAAGGCTAAGTACTCAACCGATTATGTCCTCACATCCAAATGCTTGGTGCTCAATGGAACGGATCACAGCCAATTAATAAACACATTTCAAAATCCAAATAATAAATAACAAAGCAATTTCCTCACAGTTGCAAGATGGCTGCTGTGGACCATTTTAAGATGGAACTGGTAACTATGTATCTGATTCGAGTTTGATAATGAAAATGGCTTCTCAGACCTTATCCAGCTGGGCGTGCTGCATTTCAGCCAGAGTCAGCAACAGCTGGTAGGACATCACTGCCGTTTTGTAGAAGGGAACCAGCCTGGCCATCCTGCAGACACTGCGCAGGATCCTGACGCAGCACTGAAACAAGGGTTTGGCGTATCCACAGCCCAGTATCCTATTGCAAAGCATATTTCAGTCAGAAATCCAAATGACAAACGGCAATGGGTTTCCTTCAGCCTCACTTTGTGTACTTTCATCCGTTATACCTTTCTGCATTATCTTTAAGCTCCTTGAGTATGTGGCTGATGATGCACTGCACAGCCTGAGGGTTTATAACACAGAACGTCACACCGTAAGCTTTCAGCCGGCTGTCGGTCGACACATGAACAGCCTCCAGAAAACTGCACCTGCAGATTGACGTCCATCAGCTTATCAGTGGAGGAATTCCTGTCATACTCCCCCAGCCTGAACATCAGGGTCTGGATGAGGTGTTCTACCGCGGTCCTGGTGGCCACTGAAAATTCCACAACATCTTCGGTAGCTACCAGGGAGAGCCAGCTGGTTTGAAGCAGGGGCCAGCTGTCAGTCCAGGAAATACGCTCTTTAATTATTCCAAGCACAATCCTACCCAGACACAAAAGGAATGAGAACAGTTACAAGCAAACTACTGTCAAGAAATTATGAAATAAGTCAGCAGCAGTATGTGTCTGACTGGAAGCTGTTTCCGTGCCCAGCCATCTACCCGACACGCTTACGCATGGCTATGATTTTTACACTTTTACTAGTTTATACAGTTGGACATTCCAGAAAAATACTGACACTGCAGCAGTTCTGAACTGGTAACCAGTTCCACAGTGACCCTCCCAACCAGCCCCTTGTGTATCAAATACATTTTTTCAAGGAATCACGTTAAATATAAAAAGCAGCCCATATGGAAGCTGCCGGAACAGCAGTTAAGGATGCGGGTTAAGAGATGCTTAAACTGAATCAGTGAATGGACTCAGCAGCATATGTGGGCAAAAATATTAAGGTTCCTGGAATAAAAGACTGACTCTGCTGCCATAAAATGTTTCACTGGATATTCGACCTGAATGCCAGCTTCACCCTCAGAGCCTGAGACAGACGGGAACAACACAAACCTCCTCTTTTCAGTGTAGGGGCGGAGTTGCTCCCGGAACTGGGCGTACGCTACCCCCGGCAGGGCGGCCCAGCCCGGCTCCTCCGCTGCGGGGTCGGGCCGCTTGGCATCCGGCTGGGGCTCCCCGATCGTATGCAGGAGCGGCACGAGGAGCAGGAGCTCAGCCACGCGGCTCTTCATGCACCGGTTCATCAGAGCAACCAGTGCGCTGGCAGACACAGACACGGGTCACAAGGCGGCGTGCACCATGTGCATTTATACCAGGACTATACACAGTTTTACTTTATAAACTGAGATGTTGCTCTTTTGGACTTCCTCTGCTGCCCCCAGGGAGGATGGGCTCCCCCAGGGAGGATGGGCTCCCCCTTTGAGTCTATTTTAATTTCTTTCTATTAAATATCAGTAAAGTACTTTGTAAGGCCTGTGGTTAATACAGTGCTATATAAATCAAGACTGATTCATTGATTGATGGATGGATGGATGGATGGATTGATGGATGGATGGAATGGTTCTTCCCAAGGTTCCTTCCTTTCAGGAAGTTTTTACTTGCTACTATCACCTCTGGCTTGCTCTCTGAGAGCACTGGGCAGGGATAATGCAAAGCGCTTTGAGATGATGTAATGTTATGAAAATGCAGCATATAAATACATTTCAACTGAACTGAATGGAACTGATACAAACGGCTCCTTCATCACTTACTGTACATTTTATGTATCTAAAGCTGTGGGAAATAAGTCAACAGTGATGATTATGCCCCAACACA